AAAACAAAACAAAATAACAACAAAAATAAATTTATGTTCTGTGAATTTCACCTGAGTAAAAATAAATAATAGGGGCCTCTATGTTAACCAAACTCTGGGCTAGAAACCCCATATCTTTCCAATGCAGTGTTAAACCACATTCTGGTTAATACTAGAGTACTGATTCCTACTCAAGATAATATGATTTTTTTTTTTTGTATGACCTGAGACAGAATCTGTCTTCTAGTATTTTACTTTTTTGGATTTTAACAAGAAGGCTCAAAGAAGACCAAATCAGACCCACTTAAAAATTTTCTTTTAATTTTTGTAACTAAAGTAATAAATACTTGCTATAAAAATAGTTATATTGTGCCACATTTATAGTAAAATAATATCAAGGATACAAATTTTACGTGGCACTCTTCTAAAATTAGGTGCATACTTGCATTTTCTTACAACAGACACAGATAATAACATGAAAGTGCATATTAACTCTGAAGCACATTTCAAATGCAAGATTGTTATTTGGGTAAATAATGATACTCATCAGAAGGACAGCATAAAGTAAAACATTGCTGCATTACAGTGTGCACTTTAAAACAACAAGGCAGTAATAACTAACTCACAAAATTGGTGGTCTATTATTTTACAATCAATAGGCAGTAATTAAGCAACCAACAATGACAGCTGCAGTTTCGATGTGATAATAACCAGATAGGACATACCAGAAGAATGTGTGCATGTGAGATAAACCTCTTCCTCCTGAACCAAGTCCACCCAGGCTGTCACCTTTGGGAGTCCGTACTGGTAGAGTTAAACTTGTCAAGGGAAGAATGTGAAGTTGTTTGATTCTTGGCTGGGGCGAGGGCAGCCTGAGAAGTAGGCCCCAGAAAATGCCTTCCTTCAGAAGCCAGCCTCTACTTCTTCCTGGGAGAAAGACTGCCCGTGGCTCATGAACCCCCAACTGTATGGGCCTAGGGCAGGCAGTAGGCAGGGAAGGGGAGATCCCACAACTGTGGGGATTTGCTACCTGTAAATTCACAGCTTCCACAGGGCTGAGTCTCAAGGAGAAATTCTTACCCTACACCATACATGGTAGGTACGGCCTGGGAACTGGTCTTTCCATTCAGAACCAAGGCTAGGCTGCAGTCACCTTAGAGCAGTGTGAAGCAGGAAGCCAGGCCAAAGCCTTGCTGCCAGGCCAGAGGCCAGGGGGAAAAGAGGGATGGGAGAGGAGGCCGAGTCTTGACAAGACCAAGGGAGAGATGCTGAGATCTGTCATGCTTGCCATTAACACCCTGTGATCTCTTACCTACCATCTCCTCAAGTAGTCATCTGTAGCACAGTGACAGTGAGTGACAGTGAGTGAGAAAGACAGGGCCAGAGAGGAGAGGAGAAAAGGAGAGCAGGACAGGAGGAGAGAAGAAAGAACAAAAAAATACAGCAAAAGTTAAGCCTTGTATCATATCAGCACTTCCTAACCTGTATCCCAGGTAATCAAGACTCTAGATGTTAAGGGCTAATGCAAAAGTAGAGATGCATTTGGGGAAGGATGGTTTATATAAAGGCAACTTTTATTTTTATTATTATTATTTTTTTTTAGTTGTAGATGGGCACAACACCTTTATTTCGTTTACTTATTTTTATGTGGTGCTGAGAATCTAACCCAGTGCCTCACATGTGCGAGGCAAGCGCTCTACTGCTGAGCCACAACCCCAGCCCCCAAAGGTAACTTTTAAATTCACCCTTCTATTCATTTATTCAACCAATATTTAGGGAGCACTGATGGAGTGTATATTATGCAGTAAAACAGACACATACCTTTCCTTTGTGGGACTTCCCATTTGGTGAAAGAGATAGCAAAAGTTTATATATTTGGAAACTTTATCATCTATGATACATTCTGGGAAGGAAATACGGAGAATACAAATGATGGAAAATGAAAGGGATATCTACTTAGCCGAGGAGCAAAGAAGTATCTTAGGAGGAGGTGACTTTGAGAATCTTAAAGTGATGCGAAGACAGGAAGAAGGCAGGTTGAGCATCCCAGGTGGAAGATGTAGGCAGAGCCAGAGCCTGGAGTAGGAAGGAGGCCAGAGGAAGAGGCTGGAGCAAATGCTGTGCATTTTGTGAATCCCCAAGAGCAGAGGATATGATAAGCACTGTTGCTTCCCAAAAAAAGTATTACAGAATTTTTTTTTTTAAAAAAATGGTATGTCAAATAAGCCACTAAGATGTACTAGGAACCAGATTCCACAGGGAGGCACCAGGTCTAGAGGCAGTGCTTCAAAGAATGTGGTCCCAAACTTTTTTCACTGGATTCACTGATAGTTGAGCACGACTGGGTCAGGATGTTGGTGACTAGGAGGAGAGAATGTTCCAACTAAGTCAGCTGCAGACTAGTCCTAGAGTAAAGGACTAAGGGACAAGGAGAAGAACCTGTACCTCCCCCTTCTGGCCTAGGGAGTGGCCTCCACAGGACCACCTGGAAAGTAAGAGACTTACAATATGAAAAGCTCTGTGACCTTGTCTGTGACTTCTTCCAGAGAAATCCGAAGACCTGGAGGTGGGCTAGTGGATGAGTCAAGGGAGACTAACCGTACTGGGCTCAGCCTTCATTCCTCCAGTGTATCACCCACAGACCACATGATGAATCACATGTCTGGGGCTGTATTAGGCTCTGCCTAACAAGGGCCACCTGGACAGCAACGTGAACCCAGGACAGATGAGTACAAATGGGCCAGAGGGGCTTCCCAGAGACTGAGAAAGGAGTTTGCAATGAGACTGATGATAGTTGAGCAGCCAGGGAAACGGAGGTAAGAGGTCCCCAGAGACAGGGTAAGGGGATATCACTAAAGAACCCACAAAAGTTTCCATGGGAGAAAGAATCAGCTCTCACAGCCACAATTCTCTTGTGATACCACCTGCCAGGTAAAAATTTTGCTATGCTCCTTCCTCTTTCTGTCCCATAACCCAAGCCTAACCCAGAAGTAAAAATGATGGGGTTAGCAGCAAAGTATCCAACCACAGCCCCTTCTTGCAACAGGCCAGAGCAGGAGGAAAGAAGCCGCTGTAAACATGAATGAAATTGACTATTACATGATACAGATTCTAGCAAACTAAAGTGGAGCTTTTTATTATGGGAGAGGAATGAGAACAAGCATGTGATATGTTTTTGTCCAGAGGCAAGATACACTTTCCATTGAGTACATTTTAACGGGAAAGTGGGAGACTATATAAAGTTGTTTTTTCTGGCACCCCTGAAATCTATTTGTTAGAAGCAGGATGCAGATTATCCTCTGGACCTCCTTATAGGAGCATATCTAATGGAAAAGGTATGCTCCAAAACTGAGGTCCATTGTACCCTCTCTGAACACTAAGATCACTGAAGCTTCTGGGTTCACCTTGTGACATTGCCCAACCTTTGCTGCCCCAGGCAGAGCCTTCAGCAGCTGAGGCAGCTGACTTCCTGTCTACATCAGCAGGTCTCATTCCTGTACCTTCTCCCTCTTCCAGGTAGACAAATGTGATTCCAGATAAAAACATATCACATGCTTGACCACCAGGAGCTACCACCAAGCTCAATTCTGAAACAGGCTCTCCTGAAACAGGCTCTGGCCAAGTTACCAACTTGAAGCCTATGAGTCCTCCCCTCAGATGTTGCTGTAAGAGGAAGGCTTACTGGCACTGCCATCTGGGCCCCATTGGAGACACCCATAGTCTCAATCCAAATGAAACCCAAGAAATTAGGTGCATACTTGCATTTTCTTACAACAGATACAGATAATAACATGAAAGTGCACATTAACTCTGAAGCACATTTCGAATGCTTCAAGAAGTAGCCATCACAGGTTGGCAGCCTCTTTACCTCCATCCATTCATTCTCCCTTTGTCTTATTAAGCAAATCTTTCCCCCAACCTTAGGGATAGTGTGTGTGTGTGTGTGTGTGTGTGTGTGTGTGTGTGTATCAGGGATTGACCCAGGGGCACTTAACCACTGAGCCACTTGCCCAGCCCATTTTATATTTTATTTTGAGACAGTTCCTTGGGGCCTCTCTAAATTGTTTTATATTTTATTCTGCTAATTCTTTAGGGCCTCTCTAAATTGCTGAGGCTGGCTCTGAACTTGTGATTCTCCTGCCTCAGCCTCCCAAGTTACTGAGTTTACAAGTTTATGAAGCAAATCTTAAAGTGCAGGGCTATGAAATATGAAATGGAATTCACCTTCAATGAACTGGCATTTTGGTCAAGCAAATGCACAGAGGTCAACAGTTCCCACGTCGTAGGCCAGTTAGTTTTAGCAAATCAACACACACTGGATGGATCTTTATGCTATTGGAAATATCACCTATCAAATCTATACTATTTGAAAGGGATTTTTCTTTACATGTTGGTACGGCTTCTATCTGCAATCACTTCAAATCAAGATAATTTTAAAAGAGTCTTGGTATTTGAGTTATTTTAAACCAGTGTTTATGAAGTTCCTAGGCCTGCACTCCCTAGGTTCCCAGCTCCGTTGTCTCATCTACTCTGGTATCCCTGGACCTACAGAAACTGGTGCAGGAGAGGAGCCATTAAAAGTCTCATCAACGATGAATGAATGAGCAAGTGAACATTCCTGGCCTACACTTGAAGTCAGACTTCTGTGAATACTGCAAGTAAATATGTTAAAAGAGAAAGAAATCTGCTATCCATCTCAGTTGACTGAGATGGATAGCAGATTTCCTATCCTTCACAAAACAATTTTTGGTATGTTCATTTGAATCTTGTAGTTGAATACTGTAGTGTTATTTTGTATAAAACATTTTCCTGAAGCCAATCTTTCTACAAGCTCTTGAGATCATGCCCACTTTCAGTCACTACCACCAAAAAGCAACAGAGAATCATCATGGTATTTGACGTGATCAAAGGGAATTGATGTTTAGGATCTCTTGGTGGGCATAGGTGCTTTTAAAAGAATCAACTTTCACCTCTCTTGAGAAAGGACCGTTGGGGATGAAGCAAAAAGAGGAAACACTCACTAGCATGTGGTTGGGAAGTGTCAGGCACCAAAGAAAGGTTGCAAGAATGTGATCAGACGGGTCTGTGGTCACCTCTTGTTTCTGCTAGCCTCAGCTTCCTCACCTGTAAAATGAAGATAATAATGCCTATTTCAAAGAATCACTGTGAGCAGGAGAATAATCAAATATATGAAGGCTCTGATGATAGTATCTGACACATTGTAATCACTCCCACAATAGTTACTTTTGTTACCGTTATTTACAAATAAAGCCAATGACATTCACCTACCTGCATATTTAAAGACAGTAAAGATGATATGGGTGGTCCCAAGTCTCAAAGGAGTTAGAGTCCAAAACTCAGCTGTTTGGAACTTGGAATGTATTTTTCCATAGAAACAATGCTATAAATCATGGAATTTTAGAACTAGAAGTGACTTTACTATGCATATAGTGATGTAGTAAAAATTCCCACTAAACACAGTATTTCCTATTATAGTTTCTCTGGTCTTCAAGTTCCAAGAGTGCCTACCCAAACCAATGTAACCCTTCAAGTCACTGGAACTACACATAAGCAAACAAAACAGAAGGCAAAAACTTTTTAAACATTCAGTAGTATTTTAACTTTCCTTATTCTTCAAGTCCTAGCTAAGATTATCTTCTAACTCTGAAGCTCACTGACCTGAACAGTGGGGGAACATAAATGTCTCATGAGCAGGGCCATGATAAGCCGCCCTGCTCCCTCCACCTCAGCACTCACCACTAAAACCTGCTCAGTTAATGATTTTTGATGAGAACAGAAGGGAAACAGAAAATCAGGGGGAGAAGGAGAAAAAGAGTGTCAGGAGAGGGGCAAGAGTTGGGGCAGACAAGGGGCAGGGAACAGAAAGAAAAGCACAGGTTCCCAAATTTCCCTGATGCATCCCTGGTTCCAGAGTCAGCTCCATTTCCCCTGGTAGTGCACAAACAAAACTATATATGGAGGGCATCTGAGACAGTGTCAGGTCATGTGCCGATACCATCACTTAAGGGTCGCCCATTATACCATGGCCCCTGGGAGTGGCAGTCTGTGCCTAGGCAGTGGACAGCAAGAAGGCACAGAGTTCTCTGGGAGTCACCCCGATGCTTACTTTTTGGAACAGCATGGGCTGGCTATTTGCACCCATGAGATGTTCATGAGCCACAGGTGTTTACTTTGGAGGGTTCTTGTAATGTTGTCCCCAGAATGGGGAACTCAGAAGCACTACAGAAAAGACCAAGGGAATCTGGGTTTGGATAAGAACTCCAAGCACTACTCAGATGACAGGCAATATACAATGTTAAGGGAAACAAATCATTTTATAAAAAATGTATATGTGGTTCAAATTTTGAGATTTATGTACATACTCTGTTTTACTAATTCTTACATATGTTTGTTTAGAAAAAAAAAAGACTACCACTCTAAAAACATGAACTATTATCTGTGTTATGGAAATACCTAGAATATATTTGTTCCTTTATAAATCAGTATTTCCCAACTGTGGTTAAATGGGTGAGTAAAATGGCATGTAGAAATACTAATTAGAGGGGCTGGGGCTGGGGATCAGCAGTAGAGCACTCACCTAGCATGTGCGAGGCCTTGGGTTCCATCCTCAGCACCACATAAAAATAAATAAATAAAAATTCAATGCTTTCTTAAAAAAAGAAAGAAGAAAATACTAATTAGAGATTTTAAAGCTAAAAGGGTCTTTAGAAAGAACTGATCTAACACTTTGGCCAACTCTTTTCAATTTCAGGAGTAAATCACCTCTGGCCCGTCGAGAGAATTCTGAGCCTAAAATCTCACAAATATGGACAACTAGCCACACTGTGGCCTGAGCTCAGATCTTGTGACATTTATGGTCTGTGCCACTCCTATGCTATCACATTGTCCCAGAGTCAGGGACTAACGAATTTCATAAGGAAACAGTCCATAAGGAAGGAGAAGACCTTGCTGTGCACACCCACACTTCCCACTGAATAAATATTTACCTAAGGTCACATCACAGTTTTATGACATGCAAACAACTCTGTAGCTCAAGAGCTCCAGCGACTTCATCAGAACCATGACATCAGAATCCCAGTTACAAAGTTTTCACTCCTGTATTGCACAGAAGCCCACTTTTGGAGACCTTCATGAAACATGTATATCAAAAGGCATCTGTGTCTTTATGCTACGCATCTCTATGGCTACAGAGCAGAACTGGTTATTTCTGTCTTCTACTGTCGTTAACTACACCCCAAAAAACCACTTACCTTCCACTCCATTTTGCCACATTAGAGCCACTTAACATTAGTCAGTCCCAAAACATGTCTAGAGATCAGTCAGACTAAAAACTCTAAAAGAATCGCATCCTGAAGGCTTTAAAGACTCCCTATTTATAAACATGAAGCCTTGTTAGGAACCACACACCATCTGAATCTGCAGAAAGATCAGTTCTGAGAGCTTTCATTTCTTCAGGATGAAAATTCAGACATTTGTGCAAGTACACATACAGGGGAAACTTGTTACACAGACGTGGCTTCCTGGTTCATGCCACCTGTTTTATGGTTGAGGCTGGGAAAGCTTTCTAGGCAAAACCTTTAAGGACACTGTAGCAGAAAAGGATTGGCCACAGGTGGTGAAATAAAAGGCTGCTTTTCAGATAAGCAAAGAGACTCTACCCCTTGAATAATGGGTAGTTCACTTCCTGCCTAATGTCCTAACCAGAAACACAACACGTGACTCCAAGATATACTTGTGGCAGGTGGACAGCATGCAGGACAATACGTCACTCTCTTGGATTAAGTAGTAATAAGCAGCAATAAACCCATGCTGAGAAGTTAGCTGCATGTAGCACACGAATTTAGGGGGAAGCCTAGAGCATGCTCAGGCACAGCAGCAGGGAGTCCAGAATAAACCTTGAAAGAGTGGAAAGATTCATGGTAGGCATCAATGGAGGCCTAGAGAACAGAAGAAAATCTTTACCACCAGCACCTCAGATAGAGCATTAACCTCCAGGATATACAAAGAACTCAAAAACTTTAACACCAAAACAAACAAAAACACAGAACGGAAAGAACCCTTTCTCATAGAGGCATGAAAAGATAATAAATATTTACAAGGATCCAAATTAGTCTAGAAGTTTGGCCAAATTCATTGAAGAATATGAGAATGTACTTGGACTACTTGATAGAACTCGGGAGAAAGACTGGAGCAAAGAGATTAACTGCACCCCACCCTTGCTGTCCCCAACTTCCAGATAAGAAAACTCAGACTCAGAAAGGTAAAGCCAGCTGCTTTTCCAAGATGACAACTAGTTAGTGGCGGTGCTAGGATAAGCACTCGGCTCTTTCCCTCCAAATCCAGCAGTTTGTATGTTATACCCAGCTTTCACTTCAACCATATGTAAATGGACCTAGCTTTCTCCCATAAGGAAAATAACCTTAAAATAACTGTTTTCCCTGTACATGTACTATCGCATTTATTTTTTAACTGGTGAACTTCAAAAGCAATCGCATCCTGAAAAGTAAAATGCACTTTCATTAAATACAAACTCAGTTCTTAAAAATTCTCATTATTTTTCATAAATGTATTTATTTAGTTTTGGTTTATTTTCATAGTTGGAGAATATATATTTCATATTGCAGAGAGAGATTTATTCTGCAGGTCTAGTTAATTCATTGAACCCTGTGCCATCATCCACATGATTTTTTTTTTAAGTCCCGAGAATTTTTTAAAGTTAAGGCCAAGGAAAAGCCTGATTAGCCTAAGAAGAAGTGCTGCTGGAACTACTTCTTAGGCTAACTGGCATGCAGTTATCACCTGTGCTATGGCATAGGACTAGAATCATCTGCACTTCTCTTCCTGTGAGAGATTCTTGCCAAATGCTTCACTGTTTATGACATTCTCTTCTAATCAAGAAATCCCTATCCAAAAAGAAAATGTGATGAACCCAAAATACAGATTAGTAACTTTATGCTGGTTCCTAGGGATCAAGGCAATCTCTTCTATGGGATCACAAGTCATTTATTTCGTGGTAATTGAGAAATTATGCAAGGAAGCATTTCACACATTGCTAGTTTTAGAAATTAGACTTTTTCAGCACTATTAAGAACACCGTTTAAAAGTCTCAGATCTTCTAGAACCTCCCTTGCTTTCTAATATTTAACTCTGTGATGCTGGGAGTTGCCCAGAGATGGTATCTGCTAATGCCTTCAGCACCCCAAGATTTCATCTAGCATGCCCCAGAGATATGAATTCATTCAATTACCTGGATGCTCTTTCACTTTATTCTGAATCCCCTGTAATATAATGTCCTTCCATTTTGAAGATCATCTCTTGAATAGGAAAGTAAAAGCAATCAATTTAGTTTTATATATGTCATCTATTAATGCCACCCTTACCCCCTACTTAAGCAACAGTCCACATTCTTCCAGCTCCAAAAGCAAACCAACAAGCAAAACAAAAACACTACCCTCAAAATACCATGCATCACACACATACATACACACCACCACCAAAAGGTTCAACCTAGCCAACAAAGAAATTAAATTCACACAACAATAAAATCCTTTGTAGCATACTATGGTGTAACATACGTGTGTGTGTGTGTGTGTGTGTGTGTGTGTGTGTGTGTGTACTGGGGATTGAACCTAGGACCTCATGCATGCTAGGCAAGCAATCTACCACTGAGCCACATCCCCAGCTCTGGAAATGAACATTTTAAGGGACAAAAATCAGGGCTGGTAGGTTGTGGCAAAAAGGACATACTCATATATTTACTGATAACATAGCCAAGTATTTGGAGAGCAAATAAATGAGATCTTCATGCCCTTTGTCCCAGGAACTCTACACCTGGGCATTTATCTTAAGAGATACATTTTGCAGATAATAAACGTGAATATACAAATACAGGAGGTATAAGAATATAATACAAGCTCAAAAGTAGATGCAGCCTAAGCACCCAATATCTGCAATGGTAAATGAGTTATAAAACACCAACTGATACACCGAATAATGCTATCACAGAGATATCCACATCCTAATTGCCAGAAAATACCTGTGGATATGAATTTATATGGTAAAAGGAACCCTGCAGATGTGAAGTGAAGGCTTTTGAGAGGGGG